ATATCTATTCTAGTTCAAAAGCATAGGTATTATATTGTTCAGAAAGTGAAATGGCATTACCTTGAAAAAATATTTAAGATCTGTTTTGAAGCATTTTATTCTAGCCATTGTACAGTTGCTTGCCGTGTGCACTCCTTAAAACAAATCTATTCAAATAGGGCTGTGATTCTGATTACAGTTCTGGAGAGTGTGGATGGGAAAGAACAGAAATGCTATTAAATGGCTGATTTTGCAAGCAATTAATGTTGCACTATAAATCACTGTGGAATGACTTTGCATAGCTGTTGAGAAAAGCACTGAGGTCCATGCGAGGAGGCTGCAGCTGCCATTCAAGCGGGTGTGGCTCATTCACCATTAAGCATCTAAGTCATACATCTGCTGCCCATTTACTGTTCATTAGTCTAAATTGGGTTTTATTGTTATCAACATTGTTTCAGCCTTGGTTTTGCTGGAGACTGCCTCGGGCCTTGTAGAGGTAAGATAAGGATGTTTTCAATAAACAATGAGTAAATTATACTGTGCCACACAGACTGTTGCATCAACTGCACAGCTATTGTTAAAGGAGAAAGCAGCATTTGCTTGGAGCTTCAGTGTGTCCATGTCTAAAATGGGAACACCCTCCTGTTTTGCAGCTCTTAAAACCTGGAGAAATTTGAAACACTACTATCTAAGGATCAAAACATTCTGTGCTTTGTGTTTTGTCAGGGATGAGGACTCAAGTTGTCGGACTTGCTGTCATGTTGGACTTAAGTTTCACCTGTGACTCGGGACTCCCCCCCCCCAACAATTCGGACTGAACTTGCAACGCAGAACTCACCCACCCACCCCTCCATTTTTTTTTCTCTGGAGAAGAGAGCTTGTTTTTAATAGGGACTTGGACCTTAGGTCTTGGTACCAAAAACTCGGACTCGGGACTTAGACCCAAAGACTAGCCAATAGAGATGGGGTTATTTGTATACAAATGTCAAGCACAAGCGGAGATAATGAGGGTCCAGCCCCATGGGGTCCACTCACCAATGTGCTAATGCCACGGGATCTCCACTGCCGTCCTATTGCTCCAGAGATCGCGATTGCCGAGTCACTCATGGCAGGAAGTGGAACGACACGCCTCTCTGCCAGGTCGAAGAGTGGGGGATGCGCGATTGCCAAGTCACTCCTGGCAGGAAGTGGAACGACAAGCCTCTCTGCCAGGTCGAAGAGTGGGGGATATTTGTATACGAATATCCCCATCTCTAGTGTAAAGCTCTGCATCTATGATATCTCTTTATCTTTCTGTATCTTTGAGCTACACCGTAATGTACAGGTTGTTGTGTGTGGCTGATGCCACTGTGTAGCTCCTACTTTAAAGTTCACCTTGTTGAATCTGGCACTTCTCCAGGGCAAAAGTTTTTGCCTGTTCTCAGATGTTTTTTTTTAATTTACAAATGTGTTACTTTGTTTTTAACCATGGTAGAGCCAGACTGCTGTATCTGTGAGAGATGGGTTACAAGTCCCCCCCTCACAGGTGTCAAAAAGCGCAGATGTATCAAACACTTTACATTGCATAGTTGCTGACTCCCTCTAGTGGCTACTTCTGGTAAATACTGTGTTTTCCCGAAAATAAGACAGGGTCTTACATTAATTTTTGCTCCCAAAAATGTATTAGGGCTTATTTTCAGAGGATTTTTTTTTCATGTACAGCCATCTACATGAATTCAAATACAGTCATGTCATCTTCTTCTGGTTGCTGCACATTGGTGGAGGCAGGGTTTCACTTAACTGGGGCTTATTTTGGGGGTAGGGGTTATATTACGAGCATCCTGAAAAATCATACTGGGCTTACTTTCAGGTTAGGTCTTATTTTGGGGGGAAATGGTACAACCTGAAAATATGTTTAAATACTAATTTAGTGTTTTCAGGCAGCAGATAAACAAATCAGCAGATAATGATTGCACAGGTAGGGAGGCCCTTGTTGTTGTTCAGTCATTAAGTCGTGTAACCTGAAAATATGTTTAAATACTAATTTAGTGTTTTCAGGCAGCAGATAAACAAATCAGCAGATAATGATTGCACAGGTAGGGAGGCCCTTGTTGTTGTTCAGTCATTAAGTCGTGTCCAACTCTTCATGACCCCATGGACCAGAGCACACCAAGCATTCTTGTCTTCCACTGCCTCCCGGAGTTTGGTCAAATTCATGTTGGTAGCTTTGATGACATTGTCCATCCATCTCATCCTCTGTTGTTCTCTTCTCCTCTTGCCTTCACACTTTCCTAACATCAGGGGCTTTTCCAGGGAGTCTTCTCTTCTCATCAGATGTCCAAAATATTGGAGCCTCAGCTTCAGGATCTGTCCTTCCAGCGA